AAAGCGTTAAATGGCTGGAAACGAAGAACGGAAGAGTATTTGTGTGAGTCTATAAATAGGCTCTCATTTTCCATCAACAGCAACTCTTCCCTTGTGCTCTAGATCTCTGAAATCATTGAGAATTGTGTGTACTCTTGCTCAGCTAAGGAAACTCTTGTCTGCGAAGCTGTTGAAGTTCTACTGCGGTGACAGAGGAATAGCTGGTTCATCCTTGGTGCAACTAAGGAAGTGTTTGGAAGAAGTTCATCCTTCATGAAGTATTTGGAGGAAGTGATTCATCCTTTGTGAAGACTCAAAGGAGGTGTAGGTTCATCTCTTGTGGTATTAAGAGAGGTGGTATCTAAACTTTTACAAATTGTTTCTTTGTTATTGTAATTTGTAATCGTTTTGTGATTAGTGAAGTGTTTATCTTGGTTTGAGATAAGCGACTGGACGTATGATTGGTAAGATCCGAACCAGGATAAAATCATTTGTGCAAATTTCTCTCAACCTTACTCTTGTTATTAATTTTTATTATATGCTTAGTAAGTAAAAGTGAGAAGAAATTTAAAAAGAAAACACTTTATTATTAAAACCAATTCAGCCCGCCTCTTGGTTTGTTATCCCACGCTAACCATTATGCTACAGCCGCTCTGGCAGTTACTAGGTTAGAAATTCAATCTCGTATGGTTCAAGAGTCAGTTTCTTGTGAAACTTGTATAGGTTTTTTGTTTGTAAAATGTTGTTTTAGTTTGAGTTTGGCTAATGTGACTAGGCAATTAGATGTAGCTCTTGGATAATTTAACTATAACTTCTGTAAGATTTCTCTTTCCCTCTACTCTTTATTCACAATTAATATTTAAAGGGATTGGTTTTATTAAGAAATCAAATTTTTAAAAAGGAAAATTTTTAAAAGGAACAATTTTTAATCAATAAATCAATTCATCCCCTCTTGCTTTTGTTCATACATTTAAACATTCCACTAAATATTTCTAACAAATTCAAGAGAGAAAGCAAGAAGATAAATCAAGAGAAAAGAGCAAACCTAAAAGCAAAAGGTTCGCCACAACAACGCAATGTTGTGGTAGGGGAGTAACTTTTCTAAAAATTTAACCCTAAGAAAAAGAATGGGCTTTAGTTTTTTAGAGAACTAAAATCTATGGTTGTGCAAATAATTTCAAAAATGTCACCACATTTTAAAAGGCTTTGTTTTCCTTATAACTAAAATCTATTAGGCGATTTTGAATATGTTTTTCGCACTACTAATTATTCACTATATACATATATTAGAGAATATATATATATATATATATATAAGGCTTAGTTACTCGGATGGTCCCCACTTTGGTGAGAGTGTGTCTAGTTGGTTTCCGCTTTTAAAATTGTTTTGATTGCTACCTAACTTTTGAAAAAATGTCTCAATTAGGTCTTTTTTTAAAGAAAAAAAACTCACCAACAACATTAACAACGTGTCAAATGTCAATTTGTGGTTTTCTTTTTTTTTTTTACTTTTTAAAATATTTTTGTAAAAATTGTTGTTGCTACATGTTATGTTCCTGGTGTGTCACGTGGCAGGACAACACCACATGGCAGAATACTACCACTTGTCANGGTTCAATGTATGTTTAAACAGTGATTTTTAAGTTCTTTATCCTAAAATTATATGCTTAAAATCTCCAATTGTGTATGTTTGAATGAATCTTTAAATTTGAAATATATTTAGCTCATATGCACACATGCTTTTATTAAGGGGGAGTATTATCTTAGGAAGAACTTTAAACACAGCTTTTTAATTATGATAAAAAAAGGGGGAGAAACTGTTTAAAGCTTATTTGCTTATTTGTGTTTATTCACTAATGCGTTTTTCTTCCATAAGTTGTGTTTCTATCCAGATTATTACTAAAAGCTTTAAATCAAAGGAGTTTTTGATCATCATAAAAAAGGGGGAGAATGTTAGCAAAATGATGAAGATGAAGTTTTGATGATGTCCAAATCAAGTCAAGATATATCAAGATTCAAGAAGATCCTTTGAAGACTTGTTTTGTAATTAAAAGCTTTTGTAATAATTCTAGTTTAATGTTTAGGACTTAGATTTCTAGTAGGTTTTGATTCTTGTACTTTCATACTTTGTATTTGCTGTTCAAAATAAAAAACACACTGTTTTAATCGATTAAATCAAGTATTAATCGATTAAAACGTTGCAGGTGCTGAAAACTGAACTGGCTCGGAAATAATCGATTAATACCTATTTTAATCGATTAGTTAATCGATTAATCCTTAAAATAATCGATTAAAGGTGATCGTTGGAGTTTTCTGACTTTTGAAAACTAGCCGTTGTACTCATTTTAATCTATTAACACTTGTATTAATCGATTAAAAGCGTTAAATGGCTGGAAACGAAGAACGGAAGAGTATTTGTGTGAGTCTATAAATAGGCTCTCATTTTCCATCAACAGCAACTCTTCCCTTGTGCTCTAGATCTCTGAAATCATTGAGAATTGTGTGTACTCTTGCTCAGCTAAGGAAACTCTTGTCTGCGAAGCTGTTGAAGTTCTACTGCGGTGACAGAGGAATAGCTGGTTCATCCTTGGTGCAACTAAGGAAGTGTTTGGAAGAAGTTCATCCTTCATGAAGTATTTGGAGGAAGTGATTCATCCTTTGTGAAGACTCAAAGGAGGTGTAGGTTCATCTCTTGTGGTATTAAGAGAGGTGGTATCTAAACTTTTACAAATTGTTTCTTTGTTATTGTAATTTGTAATCGTTTTGTGATTAGTGAAGTGTTTATCTTGGTTTGAGATAAGCGACTGGACGTATGATTGGTAAGATCCGAACCAGGATAAAATCATTTGTGCAAATTTCTCTCAACCTTACTCTTGTTATTAATTTTTATTATATGCTTAGTAAGTAAAAGTGAGAAGAAATTTAAAAAGAAAACACTTTATTATTAAAACCAATTCAGCCCGCCTCTTGGTTTGTTATCCCACGCTAACCATTATGCTACAGCCGCTCTGGCAGTTACTAGGTTAGAAATTCAATCTCGTATGGTTCAAGAGTCAGTTTCTTGTGAAACTTGTATAGGTTTTTTGTTTGTAAAATGTTGTTTTAGTTTGAGTTTGGCTAATGTGACTAGGCAATTAGATGTAGCTCTTGGATAATTTAACTATAACTTCTGTAAGATTTCTCTTTCCCTCTACTCTTTATTCACAATTAATATTTAAAGGGATTGGTTTTATTAAGAAATCAAATTTTTAAAAAGGAAAATTTTTAAAAGGAACAATTTTTAATCAATAAATCAATTCATCCCCTCTTGCTTTTGTTCATACATTTAAACATTCCACTAAATATTTCTAACAAATTCAAGAGAGAAAGCAAGAAGATAAATCAAGAGAAAAGAGCAAACCTAAAAGCAAAAGGTTCGCCACAACAACGCAATGTTGTGGTAGGGGAGTAACTTTTCTAAAAATTTAACCCTAAGAAAAAGAATGGGCTTTAGTTTTTTAGAGAACTAAAATCTATGGTTGTGCAAATAATTTCAAAAATGTCACCACATTTTAAAAGGCTTTGTTTTCCTTATAACTAAAATCTATTAGGCGATTTTGAATATGTTTTTCGCACTACTAATTATTCACTATATACATATATTAGAGAATATATATATATATATATATATATATATATATATATAAGGCTTAGTTACTCGGATGGTCCCCACTTTGGTGAGAGTGTGTCTAGTTGGTTTCCGCTTTTAAAATTGTTTTGATTGCTACCTAACTTTTGAAAAAATGTCTCAATTAGGTCTTTTTTTAAAGAAAAAAAACTCACCAACAACATTAACAACGTGTCAAATGTCAATTTGTGGTTTTCTTTTTTTTTTTTACTTTTTAAAATATTTTTGTAAAAATTGTTGTTGCTACATGTTATGTTCCTGGTGTGTCACGTGGCAGGACAACACCACATGGCAGAATACTACCACTTGTCAATGTCATTGTCTTAATTTCAATTTTGTCCATATATATGTTGTTTTGATTCAATTTAGTCCTAATTTTTCTCAAAATGGAATAATATTATCTTTTTCCAAATTGAGACAAAATTTATTATTTTGTATGAATGCTATACTGATATTTTTATTAAATATATATTTTTAACATATTATATTATTATATATTATTAATTCATATTTTTTTAATCCATGATTTTTATAAGATTAAAATTAATTAACTATTAATATTTTTTTAAAAAAAGCAAGTATTTAAATATAATGTATTATTAATCCATATTTTTTATAAGAATAAATTAATCAATACATTTATAAAAATAATAAATTTGGTCTTCTTTCCATTAGGATCAAATTTATTAATTGTATAAATGTTATATTAATATTTATATTAAAATTTAGTGGTTAAAGTCATGATTAACAAAAACATGAATTAATAATACATAATAGTGTAATATATTAAAGTAATTTTTAATAAAAATATGAGTATAACATTTATACAAATAATAAATTTTATCTCAATTTGGAAAGAGACAATATTACTCTATTTTTAGAAAAATTATGACTAAATTGAATGGGAAAAAACAATATAGAAACTAAATTGAAATCAAGATAATGACACTTGACACTGACATTGACGCGTGATAGTACCTTATCACGTGACACTAATAGTGGCACATGTCACCCTAGTGACATGACACGTGACAACAAACAATTTTACAAATTTAATAAAAAGTTAAAGGCTTAATACCTTCTTTGGTCCCCACTTTCGTTGGACAATGTCAATTTAGTCCTCATTTTTAAAAGTGTTTGGAATATGTCCACAGTTAGTAAAAATTGCGTCTAATTTGTCTCTTCCATTAAGTATAACCAAACAGAGTTAGTGTGTTGATGATCTGGGACCAGTTATTGATAACGTGTCAATATATTGACAACTTGTCAGTATATTATTTTGTGTGTGCTTACGTGTAATTGACTAAAAAAAGATATAGCTTTTTAGGGGTTTTTAATTTGGGGAAAATGTGATTTATGGCCTAGATAGTGTCTTCTTTAAATTTGTCTTCTTCTCAGCGGTGGGTCTTCTTCCTCTCCTTCCCCTCAAGTCACTGCAGTAACCGTGGAGCTTCACCAGGTTCGCGTGGTGGATCGAGGAGAGGATGAGGATCTCGTTACAGAAGGACTTGGTAGAGAACACGACGGAGGAGTGGTTGCGGTGGAGGTACTTCACCACCGCAAGGCGATTGTCACGGAGCTGTGCAAGGTAGACGGACCCAAACCCGTCGTCCCTGATTTTCCGCTTGGGGTCGAAGTTGTGGGTAGCGGCAGCGAAAAAAGCCATTTTGCTCGGTTTGTATTTGCGAATCCATGGTGGGGTGAGTGTGGATTGGGAGCGGTAGCGGAAGCAGAGGAATGGTTTGTTCTGGGAGGATGAGTTGAACCCGCAGGTGTCGCTGTTGGTGCGACAGACGGGTGGTGGGAATAGGTGGGAGGGGGTTTTTATGAGGTTACATTAGGAGGGGCAGTGGGAGAGAGGAAGGAGAGGCGAAAGCAAGTGGCAACTGTACAAATTTGAAGAAGAAGACCCACCGCTGTACCGATGTGGTCCCCACTCAGAGTGACGAACTCCTCCACGGAGAAGCCGTAGAGGGTGAAGCCGCGACGGGTGAAGATTTCCATGATTTGGGACATTGGCATGGATGGAGTGGGAGGTGGTTGGGGACGGAGGCGGCAGAAGAGAAGCGGTCGTCACGACGCCTGAGGAAAACGGGGTAGAAGGGGCAGCCGAGCATGGTCAGAAGGTTGCGGGTTGCGGCGGAGACATCGATATTTCTGTGCCTCTAATCTTGCTTCGAGGAGTTTTGCCATCAATGTGTTTTCCTTTACTCCCACAGGCAATTTGGAAGAAGATTCAGACTTGTCAAAATCTGAAACAGAAAACTTAGATTTCCACAGTTTTCCAGGACTACCATTAGTTGTAACTGCAGAGTGGACATAGTAGTCTTACTTGCAAATACTCTCAGGATAAATCTTATCACCCTCTGATGACAAGGAACTGTTTCCAACCAGAATATCTGTCCTGTAACTTGAGTTCATTCTCAAGATCCAGGGTCCACCATTCTCTGGTGGATCATGTTTGGCATCTTCATTTAGTAGAGCAGTGTTGTCTTCTCCCATTTCTCTTGATTTCCTATGCACAAAAAACCTCTCAGCATCATATGACATGCTCCTATCCATGTTTGCTTGTAGGCTTCAGCTGAGTTTGTGAAGTCCTTCCCCATTAGCCCTCTCAGCATCACAACCCTAAATAAATTTTTCCCCTAATATAAAAACCCTAACTTTAAAAAACCTCAATATGGTTTTTATTAACAGGTCAGCACCGTACAAGACACGTTATCAATAACTGGTGCCAGATCATCAACACACTAACTCCGTTTGGTTATACTTAACGAAAGGGACAAATTAGATGCAAATTTTACTAACTGTGAACATATTCCAAACACTTTTAAAAATGAGGACTAAATTGACATTATTCAACGAAAGTGAGGACCAAAGAGGGTATTAAACCAAAATTAAAAGAACCACATATTGACACAAAACATACCGTTAGCGTTATTAGTAACTTAAAAAAACTTAATTAAGACACTTTTTCAAAAATTAGGACGTAATTGAATTTTTTTTTTAAAATGGGAATCAACTTCCCACACACTAAAATATGAGAACTATATGAATAATTAAACTTATATAAAACAACAAAGTGAAGAAAAAAAATAAATTTTAGGTTTAATAGGTTCGGAGGTCCCTATATTTGCGGGTTCGTTTCACTTGGGTCCTCCAATTTTAGAAGTGATCAATTAGGTCCCTAATTTAACAAAATTGAGTCAATAATACCCTTCCCGTCAGATACAAGGGAATCTGAATGCAAATTAAAAATTGCAGAAATTGCCACGTATTAAGCTCAAACTCTGCCACCTGCAAATAAAATGATGCCTCAACATGCCACCTGTTTAATTTGCATTCAGATTCCCTTGCATTTAACGGAAAGGGTATTATTGACTCAATTTTGTTAAATTAGGGACCTAATTGATCACTTCTAAAATTGGAGGACCCAAGTGAAACGAACCCGCAAATATAGGGACCTCCGAACCTATTAAACCTAAATTTTACATAACATTTTTTTGACATAATAGAAGAATTAATAGAAGAAATCATCCAATGTATTTTCGTTATAACCAAAACAAATATATACTAGAGGAACTCGGAGGTAACTATACACCTCAACTAAGCAAAAAAGTATTTGACAAGATAAAAGCTTTATAAAGAAATTAAACAAAAAAAACATAGTTCTTTATTTTAGATGAAGAAGATATGATTCACCCTATGGAAACACTAATTTAATTGGTGTCATCTAATGATCAATTGGACTAAAGTCGTGATAAACTCATGATTGGAGGCACCAACTCATTTAACGTCACAAGGGAACCAACTTGGTTGGCACCTCTTCATGGTGTTGACATTGTAGAGCCTACATCTGAAATGAATCTCCTTCCTCTTCCATTCAAATCATCTATTTTGGTAAATAATTTTATTCTAAACTTTTTTAATACTTTTTTCTTCAATTTGGCACGAGAAGTTCTAATCTTAAGGATCACAGTCCAAAGAATTTTACAATTGACGAAAAATAAAAAAATTGGTTTTTTTTTTTGTAAAATAGATGGATGTTTAATTTGTTGATTGGATTTATAATTGTTCCATCACACTCAACAATCTTGTATTGTTTACGAGTTAAAGTCAAATATAAACGGATAAGACTTTAGAAGAGCCATATTTCATATATATGTGATTAATTTAATAATGTCACTCAAAAAAACTTAACATCGAAACAATAATATATATATATATATATATATATATATATATATATATATATATATAAATATTTCATTATACTATAAAATAATATGTCTTGTTTTCCATAATATAGCAGGAAAAATCTAAATGATACACTTTTAAAGAATAATGTTGCTCTGAAAAACATAATGTTATTGATTACACAATTAGATGTGTTTAGTTAGTGTCTACATAATGTTATTGAAGTTTGATGACACTATTTTTTTTATGAAGTTTTCGGTTTTGGGTGAAGATGAATGATGAATTAAGACCAGGTAGTTATAAATAAATGAATTTAAAGTGTAGGTAGTAAAATATAAAAAAATGAAGTTTTGTCACAACCTTTTAGAATTATTGTAATGAGAATACTTTTAGAAATTTATTTTTAATTTTTATTATAATATTGATATAGATTTCATGTAATTTTAATCTCTCTAAAATTATTTACTTATTTTAATTATGATATTGATACAGATCAGATACCAACAAATGTAATAATTATTACTGGGAAAGAAATTAAATCCAAACAAAATGGATATTCTCTTCTCAACATTTCATATTAAGATCTGTTAATAACTTACTTTAAAAAAAACTTAAAAATAAAGCATTACACATTCATGTGCACTTTAACAAAAAATATTCTAAAAGTAATTTTGTCTAAAATCAATTTTGCAATCCACCTAAACATACATTTGTCGAGTAAACTAAAATCTATTTTATCCCTACATTATAAATTATTCTAATTTAAATACATAACTAATATTTTAAGTTTATAGTGAATACTTATGTTGTTGTTATATTTTGGTACGAATTATTCAACAATTTTACAAAAACCTGAATTCAGTTTTATTTAGATCAATGATATGATAATTTTATAATGAATAATATAATAGCGATATTGGATTAGATTTTTCTTTATTTTTAATTTTTAAAATATTAAATTAAAATTAAATAAATAATAAGTGGTTTATAAAAGGAAGATTGAGATTTTTAATTTTGTTTTCCTTCTATCAGCTGTTGACTTTATTTATATTGGTGACAATATAGCTGGTATTTTGTCTATGTGTTTGTCCTATTGTGTTATTTTATTTTATAAATTTCAATTTAATAGTTATACTACTTTTTTATTTTATAAAGATGGGTCAATTAAATATATATTTTATTCGTGTAATTGTGCTAAAGTTGTGTTGTAACAAAACAGTTTGATTACAGTATAGCAATATATAAATGTATATTTATTTTGATATTTTATTAAATGATAACTATGGTGTTGAATATATATTTTTAAATTAACTATAATGAGATAAATTTATAAATAATTATCTGATGCATAATTTAATGGTGTACCAGCTCATTTATTCAGTATCTCGCATTCAAATATATATCATTACATTTACATTCTTGGTATATTAAAATTTTCAAAATTATATATATATATATATATATGAATGATAGAATAAAATATATTATATAGAATTATTTGATTGTGAAAACCGCGTAAACAATTCACATGTTTTGTTTTGTGCATCTTCTCTTGACAAGAATAAGTGCACTTGGCCGTTTTAATATTCATTTTCCATGTTACTGTACCGTATTATCCGCGGACGGTATGTGACAAAACACACGGGACGTTTGGCAGGACTTAAGCACAAGACCGGAAGTAGGTATGCAGAAGTGATTAACGTAAAATACTGCTTAGAAGATTGGATTCTGGATTGGCCATGATTAAAGCCCTATTAATCCTAGACCATAACCAAAATTATAAAACTATAAATACAGATCAAAGGTAAGAGGTAGACAGATTCATTAATTATGTATTTATTGTAGTACCTAAACAACCGATAAGACCTTTATTGACTTAAGTTTCGGAGCACCTTTAACAGGTACCCTCCCAGACGTACAGGACAGACGGACATCGACCTACAGAAGACCAGATGTAAGCGCGCGATTTTAGGTGACTCGACCTCATACAGGAACATTTTGACGCCCACCGTGGGACAGAGTAACTAAATCCAATGGTGACCACGAGAAACATGAGCAGCAAGGACCCGGTCGAGATGATAAGGATGTTACAACAGCAGATGGAGATGTTGCATCAGCTGCATGAGGCGGAGATGGTGGCCGTGCAGGCAGAATGCTCGGCTCGTGTAGCGTAGGAGAGAAGATCCGGGACGAGAGATAAAACCGAGGAAGAGCACGACAAGGTCGCCCGAGAAAGTGTATCAGAACACAACAGCATGCCCGACCCTACCTGGAGACCATCCAGGTCGGGGGTTGAGGGGAACAAGGTTAAGGCCGACCAGGATGAGAGCACGACCTTGAACAAGCAGCTGGGGTGAAGCTCGAGGATACCTCTAATCACCTACCATTCGTCCAAGCTATTATGGACGTCCATATATATAAAAAGAAATTTTTTTCCACATTTATTTTAAATAATTTTTAATTAAAATGGTTATTTTGTAGGAATTTTATAACTGTTTTTTTCATTTAATTATTTTTTTTATTTGACATTTTTAAACTTAATATTTTTTAATTGTAAAGCTACTTATAAAATAAATAAAAACTATTTACGATAATAATAATAATTATTATTATTATTATTTATTATCATAATATATATCAATAGACATATGAATTTAATGTGTATGGTAGATTACCTGAGCCAATCAACTAATAACCCAGGCGACCATTGAAGATAAGCAGTTTACGGTCGTCTCTAAACGATCGTCTACTTATTAAGAGGAACGATCGTATAGAGACATCCTATGTTGGTCATCGCCGCCCTTGACATCAACCATCATAAGCGATCGTTGTCTAACGATCGTCTATTGATTGAACTAAAGGACGATCGGTCAATTTTAGTCAAAATTGACATCTTAATCCTAAGAAGTTAAGAAGCAAGCGGTTGGATGTATCCGGTTATAACGCCGCGGATAACGGAGTCAACTGACCCAGTATCAAGTACGACTTAACGGTTGTATTTTCCAGAAAGTCAGATTCTCAACCAACGGATTTTAAGGTAAACGGTTTATTTTCATGACTAGGATAAATATGAAAAGGCAGGAGGAAGAAAGGTACGTTTTTCTCCTGGAGAGAAATTAAGAAAGAGAACATTGATTTTCTTCTTCATTTTGAACTGAAAGAGGTTCGATCCATCCTTTTTCTGACTTGAGCGTCGGAGTGCCTTTGCAGGTACCCAGCCCATTTTCCCTCAAAGAGCTTTACACAGGAAGGAGACACGATAGTAGCAGTATCACTGGAAGGAGCGAAGACTATTCATTACGCCCGTATCTCGACCTCAACTATTCTACCGAAACATAATGTAAACTATAAAATGTAAATCAAATTAATTTAATGTGTAACTAAATGATTTGAAAAATATTTAAAAGATTCGTTTTACTTTGTCATAACCTCAATGTTGGACAGTTTTTATTGGTGAAAGTAGATAAAAACCGTTTTGTTGATGCTTATTATATCCCTTTATGATACTAACAAATAATCATTCCAATGTGCTTAGGAAACTTTTATTGATGTTAGTAGTGAATGAATTGTATTCATTATTTTAATTCCGTCAAAAAAAGCCCAATGAATTCCTATTATTATAATCAATATTTTTTTATTTAAGTTGTCATACATACCCATTCTCGAAGACTCTCTCACGCTATTAAAAGATATAGTCCAATAAGGTTACGCCACGTGTCCAAGATAAATGGTTTGGCCCAATCGCGAAGAAGCCGTGACGCTACTCTCGCTGGATCACTAAATTAATTGCAGTGTATAGAATTAGGTTAGTTAAATATAAATAAGAGGGGTAAATAAAGGAAACCGTGTTTCACTAGGATCGCACATTCACACAAGCGAGTAAATAAGGTTGGAGAGGGCGCTGCCGGAGGAACACCGTCTTTCATTTTTCCGGCCATCTCTTGTTTCTTCCACCAGTCGGCGATCCCTTTTCTCTGACTCCAAACATGGTAATTCATTCTCTAGTGCCTCTTCTTTCGTTCACTTTCACACTATCCATTTAGATCTAGTAGTTTCCCTACGTTCTTTCCGGTGCCGACATTGTTTTTATTTTTTCTCTCTCGTATATGTAATTTCTGATTTATCCTGTTTTTAGTTATAGACAAAGAAATCAGAATTCAATTTCAATTTACGCGATTATCAAGTTTGCACATTAAAATCAGAATTTGTTCAACTTATTATTTTATGATCATAATTTTGTTAACCTAGGGTTCTTATTATTATTTGATTATTATTGATCCGTCGAATTAATTACGACATTTTCTGGTTATTAATTACTGGTGATTGTGGAGTTTCGTTAGCTTTTGGACCTGATCTGGTGCCATCCAAATCCAAATCCAATCGTGTCTTACCTCGTGTTATGCTATGCTATGCAACTCGTGTCGATTGATTTTGTTTGTTTGATTTTTGAATTGTCAATTGAGAAATCTGGAATTTGTGGTTTTGTGTAGACGACATCAAGGCGCTTTGCTGACAGGAAAGTGGAGAAGTTTGAGAAGAACATTACGAAAAGAGGATTTGTGCCGGACACAACCTCTAAAAAGGGAAAAGACTATCCTGTTGGTCCACTGCTGCTGGGTTTCTTCGTCTTTGTTGTCATTGGCTCATGTAAGAGTATCATTTCAGCATCCTCTTGATTATTCGTTTCTTTCGCTGATAATGGTTTTCTATTTCGTTTTTCACCTTTAATTACGAAAACATGTGATTCGCGTAACTGATCTCACCTGGTAGGATAAGTCTTTGTTGTTTGTGTTTTAATTACAAAATGCATTATATTGTTTTAAATTTGCTTTGTTTTTCAAAGTTTGTAGAGGAATCAGTAAAAACAACCCTTTATTGTTTTTTGTGTTTAATATACTTGAAAATAGAAAATAATTGTTTTTTTTTTCTTACGGAAAGGGAAAACATGATAATAATCATAAATTCATAATGTGAAAGCATAAACACATGATAATAATCGTAATACAAAAACATTAACATTTTCTGAGGCCTGAAGTTGTCTCTATTCCTGTCATGGGGGATGTATAGATTTGTTGTTGACGGAACATATTTGGCATATCTAAGAGTTGGATTAGGATATTTTTATGTCATTGAGTAGCTATTTGTTTATGATAACAAATGTTTCATAACTTATCAGGTATATCATTACACGAGAATATTAGCGAAAGCAATCATAATATTGCTTTTTTTGGCAAATGATATGTGATATATGCCTTTCCACCAAATGTTGGTGGTTAACAGTAATTCTTATGCCTTATAGTCAAAGGACTTGAATACCTATCGAACTTAGGCATGGAACCCTGAAGTGAAGAGGGTATACTTTCGGTGCCACAAAAAAATTGAAAAAAATTGGATTGCAATACTTATTGTTGAATCAAAAATGTGGAGGCTTGTAATTGATTCGTTTGTATTTAGTGCGTGCAAGTCGGTCGCTTGGGCTAAGGTTTTAGATACATCTCGTTAAGTATTATATGATATCTCTGGAAAGGAGTTTGTTAGATTGTAATTACCTTTCTTACCATTTGCATTTTGAGTCATATTCTGTCGAGTTTCAATAACTTATGTGTTCGCTTTTTCTGGTACAGCTCTCTTCCAGATTATCAGAACAGCAACAAGTGGAGGCATGGCTTAATGGAGCTTTGTTTTGGATTGTGTCATCTTCTCTTTCTTAGCCTCGTAGAAAATGCCAATACTTCCCTACATCTAATGTACTTGTACAAGACCCAGTTCCTGTTCATGTTTTGATGAACTTTAAGAATTTTTAATTTAAGTTACGACTATAGTTCATCTTGTTTTTAATCCTTCCTATAGAAGGGAATACGAGAGTTAATTCTTTACGCTTGGGCGGGTTGGTACGACTGGTTTTAAAAGTTAGCTATGAATTTTGAAGTGGTGCATGCAACACTCGGAAAGGTTCAAAAGAAGATATATGATATCACTTAATCATTTAACATTCAACAAAAGTTTATGACGCTTTCAGTAGATTCTCTCTAGGGCTTGTTTGTATTCCAAAGCCAACATGCTACATTCCTTTAGTGTTTTGAGCGCAGAGCCTCAGACGGTAAGGAAACTTCTGTGCAACAAGGCCAACAATAGTCGCGGAGTTCAAAATAGTCTGAATTATTAGTATGGTTCATTAATAATAATGTTAGGTTTTTTTTACTTGCTACAGAAAGGAACTATTTAACTTTTAAAATACATATAATTTCTTTTCAATTTATGCCAATTTTTTTTAATCCTCGGGCCATAACCTAAAACATTGAAAGATAGACAACCTTTCGACTATTCGACTAGTGAATAGAGTAAACAAACATATAGATTATATGTATTCTACTGAACATAGATAAGCGGTTGTTGGTTCTTTATTCCCACGGTTTTAAAATAGACAACTATCGTAAACAGTAAAATAATAATGACCTTTAACTTAATATACACTACATCGATGCGTAGTTGGGGAGAGGCATCCAAAATTGAAATCCCAGCTTCTAACCGTGACAAGCTGGAAGGAGAGTGAGAAAAGCTACACGTGTGTAACAAAGATCCCACATTTTGGAGACAGATTTGTATAAAAGTACATGTTATATAATGCAAGACTGCAAGAGCAAAGTATGAGGTGCCTAGTGACACCGGGGTAACCCATGGTTTATAGTCCCTGTGAAGGGAGTGTCCAGATTGAGAACGTTCGAGGATCTTAATATGCCATTCTCCCTGACTTCGGAAGCTTCAATTCTGAATTGCTCCAGCTCCAGTTTGGACCTTTCAGCTAGAAAACATGATTGATCTAACAGAAATTAAACTTTCATATACAGAAAAAAAGAGTCTTGAAAGCAAGGTGATCGAAGTGCATGTTTGAGAGTACGATACAAACCCGTATCGTTTTCCATCTGCTTTGTTAACCAGCAATGAACATTATCAATCATACATCAGCGTTAACCGCGGGTAAATTGCAAGGAACCTCATGATTCGAGGGAAATATTCTCAGGCCATTTCTGCTGTATTATGCAAGCTTAAATCAAGCCGTCGCAGTGAGGCACGGATAAAATGCAGTACCATGTGCTATCCATTGCCGTTTTCTTCCACGTGGAACCACACACCCAGGAACCTTCACCCATTCCTTAGTTGCTATGTTGTACGTAACCAATCGATTCATTTGTCTTGATCTCAATGATAACAAGAGCAAGCCTTTGTTTCCCAAGCAATTCATTCTAACGTGCTTCCCATAAAAGTCCAAGCACCATACGTTTGGCATTCTGTCAACCTCCTTCCACAAGAAAGTCATCTTCTGCAGCTCCCATATGCATATACAGGTGGCTGCATTCTTTGTGAGCAACCCCACAAGCAATATCCGACCATCACACTCAGCCAGTGTGCGGTCACTCAGATGCAATGGCGCTGGGATTATGTACTGCACCCAAACCCCAGTTGCCATATTATAGGAAACAATCCCTTCAGGATCTGAATGCATGAAGTAAAGGGTGCTGTCAATAGAAATCGCTTGTGACCTAAAATTGAGAGATAGCGGCAGCTTAATATCTGCCGGCATGTTTCCTGGATAGCTCCATGACTTTGTTATCGAGTCATAAATTCTATATTCTCCATCACAACCCACCAACAGGATCCTGTAGACAGCACCGGTTGAGTTATCATCTACTGTCATTCCTACAGCAGCGCGAGACCCAACCCTTACTGAACAAGATGGTAACTCATTTAAGGATTGAATCAATGGGTTACAAACATATAAAGTTTGACCATATACGTCAAGAATGCAAACTAAACCCCCTGCAGAAGCCACTGGCAAAACTATCAACTCTGCAGGCAGTGCTGATGTAGTGGGATGGTACCACTTCTTCATAGAAGGGTCATACATGGCTGCAGAATTTGTATGTTCATGAGTAACAGTGTAAAACCATGGGTTGGCTTGTCGGACTTGAGCACAATGCTGAGAAAAACTTTGTGAACTCAGCAAGGAATTCCATCGCTGGCATACAGTGCGGAAGCGGAAAAATGTTGCAATTGGAAGTCGTGCAATCACAGGCTCAAATAGATCCTCCGGCAAATCTTTCCAAATTTGTTGTTCCATAGCTTCATCGCTGGAGGACCTCCCAGATGATTTTCCTCGGCTCCTGTCTCTTCGAGACTTCTTAGATGCATGCTTTAGAGGCTCCATCATCCTGAAACTTCCAGACTCTGGAACAGACTTGCCAGCTGCCATTACAGGGCCACAGAAATCATCTACGAAGTAATCATCAACGCCATAGAAGGACCATCTGCGAAAAGGATGATCGAAGATATTCATATGCTTCATTCCATTGAATTGTAGAATAAAGATGTATAAAAAGACAAAGATGATTCATAGGAAAATTTGAATCATACTATAAAATTAATGCACAGATTTATACTCTGCTCCAAGTTAAGACTGATCCTTTCAAGGATCAGGAAGATACCTGATTAAATCAACTTAAACACATAAGCAACCCAAGGAGTTAAGTTACAAATACAAAGCTTTTCCTTTGTATAATACTATTACAAAGAAACTATGCACAGAATCATGACCACATGTTGTTTAGCCAATAATGGTAGTCACTTGGTTAGAATAGACACTTTAAGCATAAATGTTGACATGTGAATATATAGGATGAGATAGTGAAACCGAACAATTATGGTGTGTTTGGGAGTGAGGTTTTGGAGCAAAACGGAAGGAGAGGGGGGTAATTAAGAGTGTCATATAAATTTATAAAAAAAAATATCAGGGCATTAGATCAATGTTAATTTGTTATTCTATTTCATGTATTTCCAAAAAAATATCAAATCAGAGCATATTTATAGGAAATGACAATTTTGTTCCCCTTCCCTTTTCCTTTTAAAACTCAGTTCTAAAACATACCCATAGAGATTAGGGATTCTGAGTAGCCATAAGATGAGTAAGTCAAAAATGGGCATTTCGGAGTGTTATCTTTGTAAGGATTACTAAAGGCCAAGTTTGATGTAAATCCATTGAACCAATGTTCCTATCTCTTGCTGAGAACAAGAAACCAGGCTTTATAAAAACAGAGAACCAATGTGTTTTATCCCTTGGTAAGATGCATCCTTCACAATGCTTACAATCAGGAAAGTACAATCAATATTTTACACTGTGAATAACACACCCAGAGAGCTTCGAGTGTGGAAGTGGGCATCTTAAATGTACAAGAACTATGAAATTGTAGCAATCAATTTTCTCGATGACAAAAAGAAACATACAACAAGCAATAGAAGTAACAAGTAATGTTCACAAGTATGACAATTTGATGTAGCAACAACACACGCACACGCACACAAAACAACAAACATAAAATCTAACACCTAGGTTATGTTCTGATGAAGCGTACAGTGAATGATTGGACATGACAGAGCATAAAGAAAGAGTAAGCAAAGGCGGTTAAGAAAAAAAAGATTATTAACTTGGCATGGTTAATAAAGAAAAGAGGTTGAAAGAAAGGTAAAAAAGAGCAGAGAAACAGGGGAAGGAGGAAAAAAGCATAGATTTATTTGAAAGGGTGAAGAAAAAATGCATTGAGAGTAGATCTAGGAGAAAGGAGAAGACCTGGAGAGTTGTTGAGACAGTGTGGGGTGAGTGTGTTGGTGAGGTTGAAGGGTAAAAGAAGGTGAGAGTGTGTGAGAGAAATGGTGATGGTGAAGGTGAGTGATGAGTATGGCATGGCCCTCTTCTTCATCTTCTTCCATACCCTCAACTCAATTCTCCTTTGTGTAAGACCCCTTTCTCTCTCTCCTTCTTACCCGCTCTTCATTTTCCACGTTGCCTATCACAGAACGGGGTTTTGCCCACGCACCCGTGCGCTACTTCCCTTTTGTTACAAATTATTTTTACACTGGACTTCTTTCTCTTTATTAAAAAGAGATTTAGAAATTAAAAAATTATTATTATTTTTAATTTTGTAAATAAAATTTTTGATACAATCAATTTTAAAAATAATTTATAAATTTAAAACGTTAAAATGTTTATAAAAATATAAATAATAGACTTTATCAGAATAAAAAAGATAAAATATATGTAAAAATATAGCAACCTGTAAAAATATAAATGATAAATAGATATATAACGTATGAATAAATTTATATAATTTGTATTTTTCTAATTAATGCATTGACAAACTCATGGTGTTAAATTCGTCTAATTAGTATATCTACACACTCGTCTAATGTGTATTGTTAGATTGATTTAATTAGTATATGAAAAATTTTGTGTAGTGTATGTTACAATATTCGTCTAATCATACAATGGATAGAGTGGTCTAATGTGTATTAATAAATTCATTTAATATGCATATGAATAGACTCGTCTAACATATATTGTTAAATATGTCTAATCAGTATAGACAAATTTGTTTAATAAGTGTTGTAGACTCGTTTGATTAATGTATGGACATTCTTCTAATGTATATTCTTAAACTCATATAATATTTTTTGCTATACTCATCCAATTAATATATGCATAGACTCGTCTAATGTGTATTGCTAGATATGTGTATTTTTTTTGTTATACTCATCTAATTAATGTATTAATAAACTCACCTAATGCGTATTGCAAGATTCATCTAATAAGTCAATGAACATAAACTCGTCTAATGTGCATTGCTAAAATTGTTTAATCAATACATCAACAAGCTCATATAATGTTTTTTTTGCTTTGCTCATCTAATGAATATATTCTTAGACTTGTATAATAAATTTTATTATATTTGTCTAATCAATTTATGAAATAACTTATTTGATATTTTTGTTTGTTAAACTCATCTAATTATTATATGTATAATATCATGTACTTTTTTTGTTACATTCTTCTAATCAATGTATGAAAAAATTAGTTTGATGTGTATTATTAGACTCATCTAATCAGTACACAGACAAACTCACATAATATGGTATTGTTAGACTTGTTTAATTAGTATATAGACACACTCTATAACGTGTATTGTTAGACCCGTCTAAGCAATATATATTTAGACTCATGTAATGTGTATTGCAAGCCTCGTCTAATTAGTAAGTGGACAAACTCGTCTAATGTGTATTAATGAATTTGTATAATCTATATATAGAAAAACTTATCTAATATATAAAGCTAGACTTTTTTAATCAATGTATAGACATACTCGTCTAGTGTTTGTTACTAGATTTGTTTAATAGTGTATGGAATAGTTGTCCAATCAATTGTATTTGTAGACTCATTTAATGTGTATTACAAGACATGATTAACCAGTGAATGAACAAACTCATCTTATGTGTATTAATAGACTCATATAATTTGCACATGGACATACAAACTTGTGCAATGTATATTCTCTAACTTGTATTATTAGTGTATGGACCAACTTGTTTATTGTTTGTTGCTAGACTTGTTTAATTAGTGCATGAACAAACTCATCTAATGGGTATTCCTAGACCTGTATGTTTAATCAATGTGTGGGATGATTCAATGTTTTTTGCTATGCTTGTCTAGCAATTGTATGAACAGACTAATTTATATTGTTAAATTTGTCGCATCGACAAAGTCATTTAATATTTTTTTTGTTATACTCATCTAATCACTTTATGCTTAGACTCGTCTAATCAATGCATGAAATACTTAATCTAATGTTTTTTGTTATACTCATTTAATTAATGTATGAATATACCCTTTTATTGTGTATTTAGACAAGTCTAATGTTTTTTATTACATTTGTCTAATCGATATATGTACAAACTCATTTAATGTGTATATTGTTATAGACTTAATGTTTATTTGCTATATTTGTATAATTTTGTGTTGCTAGACTCGTTTAATCAATATATATCTAATATATATTTTTTACACTTATATTTAAAAACAATTAATTCGTTAGTTTTTACTTTTTATTTTAATTTTACTAAATTCTTAAAATCTACATTTTGAACTTGAAAACAGTAAATAGTAAATTCAAAGTATATAAAACAAAATTTATAATATTAAGAAGTATGATTTTTTTATTACAAATATATTTTACATTTTTTCAAATTAATTGTTTAGTACAATATTTTAATTTATTTTATTACAAATATAATATAATAATATAATAAAATAATACAAACTTGATATTTTGGAGATTGATATGAAAATTTTAAGTTTAAGAAAGTAACAGTTCTATTAAGAACTAAAATAATAATTTATTAAATATTTAATATTAAAATTGAAGTTATTTTTATTTTTATCAAATGTAAACAATTTGTAATATCAAATATATATATATATATATATATATATATATATATATATTAATTTTAAAAATATTATTTTAAGAAGTATCATAAAAAGGTAAAATTAAAATTAAAAAATAATGTAAAAAGAATTAATGCTTTAAGTATAAATTACTTTTAATAATTTATTAAATGACCCATTTAGAAGTTATAAAAAGAATTAAAAACAATAAATTATTAAAAATAGTAAATTATTAAAAAACCAATTTTTGAGATTATAAAATAAACTTGAGTAATAAAATAAATTTTTTAGCATTTTTTTTATATTATAATATATTATATTAGTATAAAATGAGTCTTTAAGGGTTGTATTGTCAATAAAGTAGAACTTACAGTTAACACAATTTTAAAAATAATTATGGCAAAGGCAACAAAATTTATAAAAACAATGACAATTTCTGTAGAAGAAAATATTTATACTAAACAATTTGTTTTGATGTATTCATAAGACCATAAGAAATTTATTGCCATTACTTGTTGTGAGACTTTCAATATATATGAGTTTGTTTTTATGAGACGGTTAAATTACAAATAGTGTTAGTTTATTTTGTTGGAGGCAGGCACGCAGGCAGAAGGGATAATTGATTAGTCAGAATGTGAATGATGATTTTGTTAGGTTTACGGAAAAGGCCTTCCAAAACTAATCGATGCCACTTTCCACTCATTCTTCGTAAGTGGCATGCAATGAGTGGCAGTGTGCCAAGGAGTTGTTGTAATTATGGTTTCCCAGCTTTCACTCTTTTCCTTTCTTTATTAACCATTCATTCCACTTTTATTTTACCATAATTATTTCATTCTCTTCTTCAAAATCCCAAAAACCTCTTTTAAATGGAATATCATGAATATCCGACTGTTTTGATTTAACTGGGTAGACAGGTTTATCACTTTTATTGCTTAAAAATATGTGTCACTAATTCTATATAAAATTTATTTAGTGAACTGAGGTACATGTACTAAGTGGAAACTCACCAAGTACGATATGTGGATGGTGGTGACATGTTTAGGGTAGGGGTGGGAAGCACAAGGTAGGTTGAGACATCAACATCAATTCTTTTTTTTTTTTTTTAATTTTTCCTTATTTATGAAGTTTTCTAAAAGTTAAATAAATACTTAATTTTATATTTTTTAATTTATAACCTTTTTCGATCGCAGATATTTTTTTAATCTTTTATAACTCAAATAGAGTATTTAACATAGTTGTACCTTTAATCTTCCGGTTTCATGAATGAAAATAAGTTATTCGTTACATTCGCAATACTTGTATAAGAGTTAAGTCACGAGTTTCTTTAGGAAATAAGTTAAATATGATCTTTAATAAAAATCTATTTAATAAAACATAAACTATTACTTGACACGTTAATTCATTACTATATTTTTTTTTGTTAAATATGTTTTTAATCTCTCATTAATGAAACGTTTTTAGATTTTGTCCATCTCTCAAAGTTTGGTACGCTTTGATCCTTTACCTTTAAAAGATTATAATTTTTAGTTTTTTTAAAGCAACGACGTTAAATTTTGGCTGACCTGACTAATGGTGTGCCACGTCACTTCTTTTTTTCGAAACGTGTCATCTTTGCTTCCTGCTCTGTCTCTTTCTTCCACCCGTGACTCTAAACTACGCATACATGTCTCTTTCTTCCGTCTCTTTCTCCAACTCTTCCAGCACTACATTCCTCGCTCTCTCCGTCCCTGCCATGCGTAGTGCTGAGAAGGCGGATCTCGTAGAGGAGCTCGACGCCATCGGTCTCGAAGGCAGCGAGAAGTTCGAGGTATGGAGTCGCAGACCTACGCAACGACTATGAGGCGATTCTGCTCTACACCGAAGATGCTGGTGGTTTCCTCGATGGTGGGAGGGGAGAAGCCTTCTCGAATGAGGGAGGATATGAGGGGCGCGTACTGGTACCAGAGGCCGAGGCGGTTGGCGAGGATGTCAATGCGGCCAGTGATGTCGAGGTTGCCATATTGCGATGGGAGGGGTCCAAGCGAAGGGCGATTTGCTTACCTGGAAATATTTTGGGTATTATGTATGTACAGATTAGCACGATGGGGAGTAATTCATACAATACCAGATTCAAAATCAAATGCTTGCAAGGTTTGTTATTTTGGGAGAGAAATTCTTCTAAAAAATGGATTCTAAAAATATGGCAAAGCCCAAAGAGAGCGTGAACTATGTAAATTAACCATGTGCTGATTGGAGTGCAGCCTAAAAGAACAAATCATTTTCCTCCAACCTAGATCAAAATCCTCAACTGACTCAAGATTATAAAGTCTATAAAATTCAGCCTTCCACTCATTGTATTGTTCCCCCAAAACAACATTAAACCAAGATGGAAACTTTGCTATTATCATCCATATGCAGAAAGCGTGTTTTGTTGTAGGCATTTCTCTGGATAGTGCTTCATTGAGACATATTTTGGTTGATTAATATAGTTTGTAGAGCCTTTCCATTCATGAACCCTAAGAAAACCTTCCAAGAAAGTGATTTATAGAAAAAAAAAACAAAAACAAAAGAAACAAGCAATGTAAATTAGAAAGATGCGTTAACTTCTTATATATTTA